CACTCACTCATACACACACACACACACACTCACTCACTCACTCACTCACACTCACTCATACTCACTCACACTCACTCATACACACTCACACTCACTCACTCACTCACTCACTCACTCACACACTCACACACTCACTCTCACTCTCTCACACACACACACAGAGCTAACCCACACTCATCCTTTTGTTTACAGGAACTGATGCAATAAGAGCGCTCCGTTGCAAACCCCGCCTTCGCTGCATATACTGCGCTGATTGGTTTGACGCCACAGCATCTCGTCTCTCATTGGTCCGTTCGCGCGTCAGTCAGAGCGCTGTCCCGCTGCACATGGAGGGAAGGAAGCCACGTTGACATCAATTAGTGTTTTTACAGTTTGGTAAACTAAAACACCGAACCGAATCTTCCGTTCACCGTGAGTGTCGGCGGAGGTGAGAAAATGTTCAGTTTCCTGAGATGATGAAATATTTAGACAATCATGATAATGGTGTATCAGGCTAGGCTGCAGCATTAGGAATCATTATTAACATGCACTGATTATACTAACAATAACAACATTTTTAGAATGCATTTCTTTGTGTATATGATAACAGTATTACTGTAGTTGATGTACAATGAAACTAAACACGTTTTGCAAATGGTTTTGATGTTGCAATGTAGCAAATAATATGATTGTAATCGATGCTACAATGTAACAACTTTAAGTGCAGTTGATGTTGCAGGCATATTGTAACTTTTAAAATTCTCCTCCAGCTTTATAATGACACAGATTCTGTTTTAAGAATACATCAGGGCACTGTCAATGCCAAGGTCATGGTTTAGATTTCCAGTGAATGCATGAACTGAATAAGTATATATATATTTTAATGCAATTCAAAGTTGCTTTGGATGAAGTGTGTGATATATATATTTTTTTTAATTAATATTTTATTGTGATCGTGTTTTGTCAGGTGTGTGGTTATCATCAGGATGAGTGTGGGCTTCATCGGAGCGGGTCAGCTGGCACATGCCCTGGTCAAGGGCTTCACAGCGGCGGGTCAGAACCGGGTCAAGATGACCATACTCTAACACTAATGAACTTTAGTCTCACGACTGATCAGGAGTGTGTTTACATGCACTACTGGCCAAAAGCTTGAAAGAAGTGTCTTCTGCTCAGCAAGACTGCATTTATTTAATCAAAAATACTCTAAAAATTGTGAAATATTATTGCAATGTAAAACAGCTGTTTTCTATGTGAATCTCTGTTAAACTGTAATTTATTTCTGTGATCAAAGCTGTATTTTCAGCATCATTACTCCAGTCTTCAGTGTCACATGATCTTCAGAAATCATTCTAATTTTCATTCTCATATTTTTGTGGAAACCATAATATTAACGCGAAAGTCTAGTCATCTTTAAAAAAAAAAACATTTAATGTTTTTATTCATCTAGGACGCAATAAATTGATCAAAAATGCAAGTAAAGACATCTATAATGTTATAAAAGATTTCTATTTCAAATAAATGCTTTTGAACTTTTTATTCATCTGTGAATCCTGAAAAATAAAATGTATCACGGTTTCCACAAAAATATTGTGCAGCACAACTGTTTTCAACATTGATAATAATCAGAAATGTTTGTTGAGCAGCAAATCAGCATATTATACTGATTTCTGAAGATCATGTGACACTGAAGACTGGAGTAATGATGCTGAAAATACAGCTGCGCATCACAGAAATACATTACAGTTTAACAGAGATTCACATAGAAAACAGCTGTTTTATATTGTAATAATATTTCACAATTTTTACAGTATTTATGATCAAATAAACACAGCCTTGCTTAGCAGAAGAGCATATCTTTTGACTAGCAGTGTGCGTTGTATTTCTGTGATTCATGCAGTTCAACAGTTCACAGTGTTCACGTCCTGTCAAGCTCCTAAAATAACAAACCACACAATTAATGTGACATCGTTGTATTTATTCCACGTCTTGTTGTTGTTTTTGGTTTCTGAATCTGTCCACCGGTCATATTTCATCCTCATTTGTCTGTTTTTCAGGTGCAATTGCTGCGAACAGAATCACAGCAAGTTCACCGGACACAGATCTGCCGACAGTCTCCGGCCTACGGGTGTGTAAACCTGAACTCTGTGAGAGTGTGTGTGAGCGAGTGTGTGTGTGAGGGAGTGTGTGTGTGAGGGAGTGTGTGTGTGAGGGAATGTGTGTGTGAGGGAGTGTGTGTGTGAGGGAGTGTGTGTG